TACTGTTGAGAATGTCTTTGGGCCAGCTGGTGGTCTGGTGGTTAGGCAGTTGGATCCCACATGGACGATTGTTCCAGAAACAATGGTTTGAAAAACACACAGGGGGAAAAAAAAAGAATTAGCAAGAAAAAAAAATTAAAAAAAGAAGAAAAACACACAGGGTGCATGTGTGCATGCCTAAAATCACAAAAGGAAAGAGAAATCGAAGGGAAGGGACTGCAGTGTGATCATTCCCCATGGGGATGCTTTCTAATTTATTTTCGCTCTCTCAGGTGAGTACATGTGCCCTCTTAGCAAAATCTTTTAAATTTTTGTTTGAAGCAATTTGTTCACCTTTAGGTAGTGTATTCTATCTATTTACCTTCTAAAAGGGATACTTAAAATTGTTGGCAGTGACGAATGCAAATATATTTAATATATTTGCCTATCTGCTTTTCTGAGTTTCCAAAATTACTTTTTGTAAGTGAATTTAAGCCTTAGAGCTACTGAACAGTGACTCCTTTGCCAGTTAATTCTAAGATGAAATTATTGCCTATATTCATAATTATCTTTTTAAGATTAGATCCATGATTCCATTCTTTAATATATGCACAATAATCTGATCTATTCTCTACCTTTCTTGATTTATGGGGGGATAAAAGAAATGAAAGAAAAGAAAAGTTCCCACCTAGGCTACCAGGAGCATTCTATCGCCTATGACTTTTAAAAATAAAGCTGCTAAAAAAAAATAACAACAACAAAATAAAACACAAAAATAACTATAGCACATATTGATTAATAAGGTAAGAGCTATCTCTTATCATAAGAGAAATGCAAATCAAAGCCATAATGACATACCACTTAATCACAGTCAGAATGGCTAGAATTAATTTTAAAAAATAAGTGCTGGTGAAGCTGTGAAAAGTGAACTCTCCTCCACTGTTGGTAGGAATGTAAATTAGTACAACCACTGTGGAGAACAACATGGAGATTCCTCAGAAACCTACAAATAGAACTACCATATGACCCCATAATTCTACTCTTGGGTATCTACCCAAAGGATAGGAAAACCCTCAGCTGGAAAAACACTTGCACATTCACATTTATTGCAGCATTATTCACAATAGCTAGGACATGGAATCAACCTAAATGTCCAAGAACAGATGAGTGGATTAAAAAAATGTGGCACATGCACTCTATGGAATCTTACTTAGCCATAAAAAGACAATGAGACTCTGACATCTGATAAAAAGCGAATGAATATGGAAGATTTAATGCTAAGTAAAGTAAGCCAGACTATGAAAGACAGACAGTATATGTCTCTGCTTAATATATACTGAATGTCTGCATTTGAGAGCAGAAACTGAAAGATTAAAAGGTATAATAGCAGGAAGGGTAACTGTAGATACTAGAGACAGTATAGAAAGGAGTGGGTAATAGTGGGTAGGCAAAAGGGAGTGAGAAAAAGACAAACAAATAAAATATTGAATAGACACAAAAGTGAAAAGTTGATGATAATGTATATGGTGATGTATTAGATTGAACAAATATGCACTGTATTCATGCTGGGAAAAACCATGTTGTACATTGTAAAGATATACAGTGATTAAATGTAAATTAAATATATATATTATATACATAAATTTTTAAAAAGAGCTATCTGATACATAATGATTTTCCCAACATATCTATAATTTTAAAAATATTAGATTGGGCTAATTGTCCATTATTAGATGTCCACTTAATCCAATATTTTTAAATTCAAATAAGAATTTCCTCCATAAAAGGAGGAAAAGAGGAAAGAGTAAGTAGAAATGATCAATGTCAAAGTTTGTTTGGATTAGGAACTAATTTTGTAATTTCGATGATTTTTAATAATATTAAGGTGTCAGTTATTATGGGGCCTCCTCTTTACACTCTTCCATGATTGCACTAAATAGACAAAATTTTAGGGGCAGGAGGTTGGCTAGGCCTATGATACCTTTCCCTGCTACTACTCCACGGGGATTCTTTCTACAGCTCAGGTTTGGTCAGAAAAAAATGAGGACTGTTCCTGAATCAAGATTAAAATCTTCCATAGAGCTCAATTTTAACCTGTCAAGCAGTTAATGGATAAACTAAGGTCTTCCAGGGTAGCTTTATATGCAGCAATTCCAGGATGGCTCTGTCAATTCATGGAGGTTCTCATATCTGTGTGTGGGTGATGTCTCTCTTGAAGGTAGTGACTTTTCCCCATATTCCAAAGATGAGATGATCTTCAGACAGAAATTTTTTCTCTTCTCCCAGATGACTGATTCTCAAGCTAGACCATAGAAAGGAGGTAGAAGAGGAGCTGGTGTCTGGCACTCTCCTTGCTCATTGTTTTCTTGGTCTACCTTTCAAGCTCTCTAGAGGTCTGCTCTTTGGTTGCAGTGACTGAAGATGGACATTGACAATTGGAGTCAAGAAGGAGGGTGGAAAGAAAGTCATTTCTGTCATGCCAATATATGAAGATAAGCAAGCTGTATCTTTCTCTCCAGATTATAAAATCAAATCACTTTCTATATTTATATCCTTCTTGTTACCCATAACCTAGTAGCTTTTTCTTTTCTTTCCTTTATGTTTATTTTTTAAAGTTTTTGCCTTAGGGCATGTGTACTCGCCAGAGAGAAAGAGAGAGATAGAGATAGTGAGAGAGAAAGTGAGAAATCACCCTCTGTCCCCATGGGGGATAACCATGCTGCAATCCCTTCTCTTCCATTCTTGGGATTTTAGGCACACATACACACATACCTGGTGTGATTTTTAAGCCACCAGGTCCAGGAATCGAACTTTGGTTGGCCACGTGGGAGTCCAGTGACATAACTAACTGCTATGCCACCGGCTGGCTCCTCTTTTCTTTTTTTAAAAGAATACTTAAAAAAAAAATGCCAGAGAGTGTATGCACTAGCCAGAGAGAGACAAAGAGAGAGGGAAAGCAAGAAAGCAAACCTCTCATGGCCATGGGATGGCCATGCTGCAAACCTTTTTTCTCCATTCCTCTATCCTTTCAGGATTTGGGGAATGCATGCACACAAGTCCAGTGGGTTTTATAAGTTGCTGGATCCAGGACTCAAGCTGTGCAGTTGTTCATGTGGGATTTAGCCACCTTAACTACCACACTACTAGTTGTCTCCCAGCAAATGGTTTTCACACATGGGTGTGCATTAGAATCACCTGGAGGGCTTAGTGTTTTCTTATTGCTGGGTTCTACCTCCAGAGATTCTGTTTCAGTGGGCATGGGGAGGACCTCAAGATTGCATTGCTAATATGTGCTCAAGTGACAGTGATGCTGCTAGCCTGAAAACCTCTATCTTCACCCATCATTTCTCAAAATGACCTACTTGATCTTCTGATCACTGGAGTACTACTAAAATATAAATTTAGGAAGGATCTTCAAAAGTTCATAGAAAATACATACTATGAAAAAAACTGCATGAATTCCATTTATTTTGTACTAACATAAACTTTAAGCCCATTTTCCCCATGAACTTCTTAAGTGTCCTTAGAATATGAGATAGTAATGAATCAGGATGGCCAACTACCAAGTTCCCAAGTGACTCCCATGCATGCTAAACTTTGAGTGTCCTTATTCGGTGGCAAAGTTTATTTTAGGGTTCCATCTGATCTACACTAGCCATGTCATGTTAAGGGAGGCATTCTCTGTACACCCTCTAACTAGGAGAGGCAAACAAGCATCTAAGTGTGTTCTGAGTCTCACTTCCTGGCTGGCTATGCTGTATAGGCCATGCTGTGGGAAGGGGCAGTGGCTGCTCATTATTGCCATCCTTAGAGTATTAAAGGAGAAGGTGGTCTTTAGAGACCAGTTTAGGGAATAGCAGTTATTTGTTAAGTCCCAAGGGGAAAGAGACTCTTGGAGAAGTTAGGCTGGGTGGTTAAGCTACCCAGCTTAGTAAGAGTTCCATGTTAGGTAGCATTAGCCTAGAGCTCTTTTCACACTTCTCTGAGCCCACAGAAGGGCCTCCATGTAGACTTCGAAACTCTTTGTCCCTATTTATAAGATCTTCTTTGTATATTTTAAAAATGTATCCACCTATTAATTTCATGAGGAGCAGAGAGAGAAAGAGGGTCCTCAACAGGGTCCTCATATCATGATTCACCGGAGTCTTAGCCAGTCAAGATCATAGGCACATTCACACCCAGCATGCATAGGGAGGGTCCAGGAAACAAACCTAGTCCCTTTCCCATATGGATCCAGCCACATCACTACTGTGTCACCACCTGGCCCAAGAGTTTCTTTATCTTTAAGAAATCAGGTGGAAATCATTTTGATGTCTGCATCATTTAACAATTCTCATGCAACAATTTATATCATTCAATAAATAACTCCCTTCAGTAATGACGTAGGCCATATACCTAAGACTGAAACAAACATACTAACAAAACAATCCCAAAAACCCACCTTCTAACTGACTAATATGAATTTTAACACCAAGGAAGAAAACAGAGCTGAGATATCCATTCTGTGAGTACACAGCCTACTCTGACACCAGCACTAGATCCACAGAGAAGACAGTCCCAGGCCAGGGTTACTGTAATAATCTCTGCTCCATAGTCTCAATCTCACTGCTTTTAGCTTCAGAGACAAGAAAGGAAATTGAGGACTGAGTCAAAGTGTTAAAAAAGATTTGCAAAAACAAATTGGAAACTCTTCATATGTCAGTCTCACGTAGAATAAAGACTTTAACAGAGACTTCTAGGATCCATGGTAGAAATGATATAAGATGGTGACTTGCTTCTATTCATGAGCAAATCTGGGTTTCCTGAATCTTCACTAAGCGAATTTTTCCAAGCTCAATGCTTTTTCTTGCAGCCAACATGCTAGACTCCAGTAAATCTGTTCAACTTCTCTAATGTGTTCTAAAATTATAAACCGGAATCTACACTATGTTAAAAACCTCACACTCTGGGCTTCACACACCGTCTGCTCATCAGGAATCAGAAACAAGGCAGTTTCTCCAAAGCCTGCTTCGCTGTTTTACCTGAGCTGGTCGAGGCAGGGGATTTGCTGCGCCGAGAAGGTCCTGGGCTTTTGGCAGTGCTCCTGCGGGATGATGAAGCTATTTTGGTGTAAGAAGTGGACTTCACCACTCGACATTCTGGGGGGGAAAAAAAACTACACATTAATATTGGGTAATGACACACATCATCTCAAAATGCACAATATTCCTGGAAATGGAAATTCACGATCATTCTTGGTCACACTTCCTGCCTGTAGTGTGCCCATCTACAACAATGGAGCCAAGAACACAATGAGAAAAGATAAAGTGAGTTTTTCAGACATAGAAATAAACAATACTCCAAGTGTCATTTACAGGGGTAGTTTTGGATAGATTGGAATCAATAGGCTGATAAAGAAGTACTCTTGTTAGATTTCTCTTCACCTACCCGCTGGCTTATCTGTGTGTCATATTTGAGAAGGAGCTTCAAAAGTCTGTGGAGAGGTCGAATGGTGGTACAATGGTAGCACAGTGCTCTGTGATGCTGACCCACATGGGAAGGTTCTGGTTTGCATCTGGGGTCCTCCCTGAACACGCCAGATGCATGTATGCTCATGATCCATGCTGCCTAAAGCTGTGGGTGGATTCAGCATTTAGATTCTGTTGGGAGTGCCAATCTCTGTCTCTTTCTCTCTCTCTTATGCTCATGAAAGAAATAAAAACAAGAAACTTTTTAATGTATGAGTTTATTTTGGTGCAAAATTATTGAAATCCATGCATAGCTTTTTCATAAACATATTGTCTATAAACTTTTTGAAAAATCTTTGTAGTCATCATTTTTAGGGTAAATTTTTCTTTCTACCAAGCAAAATGTTAGAAGAAAGATCAACCTCATAAAGCAAGAAATGTGGTAATGGAAGATTCTACCCATTGTGATGGATCTGTTTATTGTCCTGGGGCTCCATACAGTGTTATATGATGCCTGTTTGTTCAGAAGAGGTAAGATTGGTGAAGAGGTATGACATTGCCCTGCAAGAGGGCTTCATGCAAGGTTTTGCCACCCCAAAAGTCTGCCATAGAGCTTGTATTGCATCTGCAAAATGGTTCTTGGCTTGAGGATGAGAAATAACCTTGATTTCATTAAATTTAGATCTTCAATATCCATGTTCATTAAATTCAATGTGAACATCTTAAATAGCAAAGTGATTCCACCGAACATCATGATGCTATGCAAATCTACTCATCGTGTTCCTCAGAAACCACTTTTGAAAAATTAAAAAATGTTTTTATGTTTGTAATGATAAGTAATGTTCTCTGTAGATAGAAAAAGATGAAGTATATTTTAAAACACCTCTGTAACCCATGAACAAGTGATGATTTTGGGAGGGGAGGAGGTATACAAACTTTAATACTTTTTTCTGTTCACCTATATTTAAACAATACTGGGAGTGATCTGTACATGTCATTCTCATACGACAAATTCTTGTAAACATTTTTACTCCATCATTTAATGGCCATAAATAATTTTACTATGTGGAGTACCATGATTTGCTTAACTAGTTTCCCACTATTGGATACTTCACTTCTTTCAGTATTTTATTATTGTAAGTAATTATTAAGTAACATCCTCATAAATAAGTTCGAAGTTATCAGATCCATTCCTTAGGCTAGATTTGGTCCCTGGCATGCAAATTTTAGTTTCTAGCAACTAGAATCCAAGAGCATATCATAGATTCTCCAGTATTTTGTTGAATTAAATAAGTTGAAAATATTTGCTGAATGAAGTGGAAGGTTGAAAGTAAAGCACTTCTGACAAGCTCTTGACAAATAATCTTCCAGAAAGTCTGACCCAGATTATACTTTCACTATATAATGAGCAGTCATTTGCCTGACCCTTCACGAAGGTTAGATATTATCTTTTTTCAAAAAATCTTGGCTAACTCTAAACAAATGTCATTCTTTATTGTCTGAAATCTGAATTGGCTTTTGCCAAGGAAGTTTTATGTTTTTTTTTTTTTTTCACTCATCTATTAGCCATTTGTATTTCTTCTTCAACTACTTATTCATATCCCTTGCACATTTGCAGTTGGGATAGTCTTTATCCTATTGGTTTATAAGAATACATTCTACAGTAAAAATTTAATCCCTTAGTCCATCGTAAAACAAGTAATGATCTTTTTAGGTACTTGTTGAAATAGGGTAGTCTTATATATTTTTTTGAAAGTATAGCTTAAATTCAAAGTCTAATTTATTTTTTATGTTTTTATTTTTTTGGGAGAGGTTTTTGCTATAGGGCGCATGCACTTGCCAGACAGACAGAGACATAGAGACAGAAAGCAAGAAATCACCCCCCCGGGGGGATAGTCATGCCACAATCCCTTCTCCTCCATTCTCCTCTCGGGATCTTGGGCACGCACGCACACGCGCCCGGCGTGAGTTTTAAGCCACCGGGTCCAGGACACGAACCGCGGTCGACAACGTGGGAGTCCAGTGACATAGCCATTATGCTAACTGCTGGTTCCCCCAAAGTCTAATTTATTAATTTTCTACTGTGCACTTTTTACCCTTTTGTGTTTTAGCAACAAAGAACTCATAATTCCAGATCTAATGCTGATGTCTGACTTTAACGTTGACATTTTTCTCTCGTATCCAAGTAATTTTAAAATTTCCAAGGTTCAAGATAACTTTCTTTTTCTTCTACACTCTGAAGAAACAAAGTAGTTAATATTGTTTAGTAAAAAGGGAGTGTGAGTGTAGTGAAATATAAATGTTATAAGACTAGCATTAGGAGATAGAACATAGAAAACAGTGGATCCCAGAAAGTCTTAGAAATTAAACTGGGGCAAAAAAAAAAAAAGAGAGAGAAAGAGAGAGAGAGGAAAGGTTAAAAAAAGAAAAAGGAGAGAGAAAAAGAGAAAAACAGAAGGAAATTCTGCCTTGAGATAGTATTTATGGTTCCCCCCCACCTGTTTGTACAGCTTGAGGCAAAGGAAATTAAATCCTGCATTACTGAGTCTACTCGGTCTTCTCCAACAGTTACTTGGTTCACTATTGGCTGTTTCAGCCTATACATGTGGCCCTGCCAAAAAATTCCATTTCTTTTTCTCTTTCTTCTTCTTTTTTTTAAAGTTCATTTATTTATTTCTCCCATTGGCAAGAGAGACAGAAAGAGAGAGAGAGAAAGAGAGAAACAGAAAACCCAACAGGGTCCTAATACTGTAACTCACTCCCAGACTCAGCCAGTTCTGGATTATGGGCACACATGTGCCTGGCACTCAAGAAGGTCTCCAGATGAGAACTGGGAACCTTCTCATGTGGGTTAACCTCTCAGAGCATCACATTTTACCACTGCCCCATGGTCTGCCTCTTCACTCTGGAGATTTCCATTTATATTTATTTATTTATGTATTTATTTATTTGGAGAGGTCTTTGCTATAGGGAACATGTGCTTGCCAGAGACAGAGAGAGACAGAGAGACAGAAAGCGAGAAATCAACCCCCAGAGGGGGTAGCCACACCACAATCCCTTCTCCTCCATTCTCCTCTCGGGATCATGGGCATGCACGCACACACGCCTGGCATGACTTTAAGCCACCAGGTCTGGGACTCGAACCGCGGACGACTACATGGGAATTCAGCGACATAGCCATTACGCTAACTGCTGGTCCCGAGATTTCCATTTCTTAGCCAAAAGACAAACAAATCTATGGATACAGGCATAGCAGCAAAAACTGAAATACAGAAATAACCAAGAAACAGAACTAATAACATCAGAAGATTTGAGCAAAAACATCAGAAGATATGATCAGAAACAGCAGGACCATTCACATGGGTCCATAATTCCTGAGGGATTTTAATGTCTGTGGAAATTTTAATTTACAAAACAAAGCTTTGCAATGAGTAAGGAAGGTCTCAGATTAGCTCAAGGCTCCGTCCACATGACTGACAACAACACATCCTGGAGTTTGTCCTAGTTTATGAACATCTATCAAGATGTTCCAAGCCTTTCAGAAGTCTATTAGCAACCAGACGGGACTGCCATAGTGTTGCTGGTTCATGACCTGTTTCCAGTTACATTTTTATGAACTGCTCACTGTGTGCTGGGCACTGAGAGCAGTAGGCATGATTGAGAATGAAAAAAGTTCTGGAACTCTGAACATTTACCACCTGGTGGTGGTACATAAAGTTGTTTTGCCAACAAGATCTCTTTGTGATTATTTGCTTTTTCATGGCCTCATGTTTGAAAAATATTGGTTTATGCAACAAATTCCTCTTAAATAACAGTACTTTCATTCATTTTAAATCAAAATCAAGACTATAATGAGGGCAGGATGACCAGGACTTTTTGTCCCAGGTCATGGGCGTTTTGAGACCACATAAATCTAAAACAATAATCTAAAAAGCTCAGCATCTAGTTAGTAGGAATGACTAGTTAAAATAGAAAGCTGCCAGATGGTGCATTGTTAATAACACCCATCTGTGAGCCGCAACATGAATTTAAAAGTTGGTTTTAGGGTTTGTGGCATGCTGTTTACCACAAGTGCCAGAATTGCTAGTTATAGCTCCAACTACCAACCAAAACATAGCATAATAGAACCAACCTTACCACACTAAGTTGAAATTTTTCCAGTTTCCAGAAAGAAACTAAATATTTTTGTTAGGTAGCTCAGTCTTATCAGAGCAAATGTAGACATTTCATTTGATTTTGATCTATCATAAAAGACCTGTGGATTCTTAACCGTGCTTCCAAATCTTCCCTTCCTCCTCTTGCTCTTAATTCTCACCATATTATTAATCAGTCAAAAGTATTCATTGTAGTGAAAATGGAGTCAGGATGGTTTAGTCTGACTTCCTCACTTCCTATCTTATCATGTGTGAAGGTCACAGGGTAAACATGTTATTAGTTGTATTGCACTTGTGCATTTGTTATGTAATTATGACTTTGTTGTTTTACACCACTGTATGTAATGCACATCTGGTTCAGTAATGAACCATTACTGTCTGCAGCCCATTTTAAAGAAAAGTAGCACCAGACCTACTTAGCTGCTAGCCTTGCTCAGTTCAACCTTGGTTCAGCCTGCTCAGCCTTAATGACCTTGGCTTGGTTCAGCCTTGGCTCATGGCTCAGCTCAGCTATGTGCAGCTTTTGTAGGCTCTATG